CAACAATCAAGATTATCCTCCACTGATAGCCCAAAGTAGTTATCTCTAAAAAGATAATAAATTTATCGAACAGATAAATAATCAACAATTTCATAAGTGGGTGATAAATTAATCCAACCACACCATTCAATTACAATTCCATCCAATTTCATGATTTCCAACCCAATTTCACATTTCCCCAAATTAATTATTCAAATTAATTATTCAACATAATTAGGACACTTTTCCCTTTTTCCATTATCGACCCTAAGGTTCAATTTCATCAATTTAACAACAATAATCCCATTTTCCAAGGTCTCACATACACATGGAGTTTAACATTTGAAAACTCCCCTTTTATAAATTACACATCAAACCCTAACTTTTCCCGAAATTACCCAACAACACCATCTAATCAAAATGACTAAAATTTATGTTAAAACTCATAGAATGGAGTAGGTTATCCCTACCTCGAAGTTAAAAGCCCAAAGAAGTAGATGAAGAAAACCCAAAGTGCTCCAAATCCACTATTTTTCGGATTGAAATGTAGCCCATACCAAGCTCCACACTTTTAACAAAGGGACTAGGGTAGAAACACACTAGAACTAAATGGATTTGTAAAGAGAAGTGGTGGTTTAGAGAGAGAGGCAGCCGTTCTAGGGTTCGAGAGAAAAAGGAGATGAAGAAGTGAAGAAGAAGAAGCTGCTGTCAACTGATATATTCGAGGCTCGCTCGAGCGAAGGATTGGTCGCTCGAGCGACCAGACACAAAGAAACCTCGCTTGAGCATAGAAAGCCTCGCTCGAGCAAACAATTCGAAGCTTCAGGTCTGCAATCCAGAAGCATGCTCGAGCGAAGAAATGCAACTCTCAGGTTCAGAACCAGACACAGACGCAAGCTCGAGCGCAAGACTTCTCGCTTGAGCCACCAAACACATCACTCAACGCTCGCTCGAGTGAAGGAACCCTGGCTCGAGCGAAGGATCTAAAACACAGAGCTCACTCGAGCGACAAAAGCCTCCCTCGAGCGAAGAAGCAAAAATCTGGGCAGCAACTATTGGTTCAAACTCGCTACCAACCTGTAACAAATCTGCCCAACATATCCTAAAACTCATATACAAAGAGTTAAAGGACGAAAATGAAACTTATACAACAACCAACACCACGGAACCTAAGTCCGGAATACAATAAACAATGGAGGGAAAACCGGGATCGCTATAGTTCACCTTTACTGTGATCTTGGCCAAACACCACTTAAAAATATTTTATTCAAAGATTTTTATAAGTGTTCTTCCTTCACTTGTACTTGCTGTCTTCTAGCAAGACTTCACCTTCCCATGTCCAACACCTTGGTCGGGTATCTCGGTTAATTATACTTCGGGTATAAAATTGTACACCTATCCCGGATTAACTTATCTTGGATAGTTCCATTTATCGAATTTCTCAAGTGTTATTCATAAACTTCAATATGAAATTTCAGAAAATTTCACAAGTGTTATGTTTTTATTCCATTCCCACTTCCTGCCACCTAATGTGAACCTAAGTACCACTTATGTTCACATTAAGCATGCAACTCCAATTCTTGCCAAGGTTTGATTCAAACGAAAATTGGCTAAGGTTTTTACCTCGGTTTCTCTGTTAATCTATTTAAACTTAGTTCAACTCTGCCGTCGTGGCAAGTCTAAGTTATTCATCATGTTTCATTCGGAAATATCGCCAACTTAGTTCAACTCTATCATATAGCAAGTATAATTCAACTCTACCATATGATAAGTCTAAGTTACTTGTCATGTTTCGATCGAAAATATCGCAAACTTAGTTCAACTCTATCGTATGTCAAGTATGATTCAACTCTACCATATGATAAGTCCAAGTTACTCATCATGTTTCAATCGGAAACATTGCAAACTTAGTTCAACTCTATTGTATGGCAAGTATAATTCAACTCTACCATATGATAAGTCTAAGTTACTCGTCATGCTTCACTCAGAAACATCACAAACTTAGTTCAACTCTATCGTATGGTAAGTATAATTCAACTTTACCATAGGATAAGTCTAAGTTACTCGTCATGTTTCAATCGAAAACATCGCAAACTTAATTCAACTCTATCGTATGGAAAGTATAATTCAACTTTACCATATGATAAGTTTAAGTTATTCATCATATTTCAATCGAAAACATCGTCATAAGACTACTTCAGTCCTATTTCACAAATATCACCAACAATAAAAACCAAATCAAGCTAATGTTTTATTAAAATTTCGGCTAATATTACGTAATTCTCAAAAAATAAAAACTAATGATAAAAAAGCTTTAGATTGCAAGTGTTCCAGGGTCGTGGCAACTCTTTGCCATCAGTGTCTTCAAGCCGATATGCCCCATTGCTGGCAACCAAGATGATTCTATAAGGCACCTCCCCAGTTTGGGCCAAGTTTGCCCTCTTTAGGATCCTTCTTGTTTCCAGCAACTTCCCTCAAGACGAGGTCCCCAACCTTGAATTCTCTTGGGTTGACCTTCTTGTTGTAAGCCCTATCAAACTGTTGCTGGTACGCCCCCAACAGAATTGCTGCTCTCTCCATTCTTTCTTCCAACAGGTTCAGATCTCGGGCCAAGAATGCCTCGTTAGTTCAATTCTCCACTCTTTTGGTTCTGATTCCAGGGATGCCGATTTCTAGTGGGATGATTGCTTCAGTGCCATAAGCAATGTCAAACGGAGACTCCCAAGTTGATCTTCTCGGCGTAGTCCAATATGCCTACAAAACATTGGGCAATTCTTCTACCCACTTGCCCTTGGCTGCTTTCAGCCTCCTTTTGATCCCATCTAAAATGGTCTTGTTAGATGCTTCTGTTTAACCATTACTCTGGGGGAAATTAGGAGTAGAATAATAGTTCTTAATCTTATACTTGGCACAGAAGCTCTTGATCAGCTTACTATCAAACTGAGTGCCATTGTCTGCTATAATGGCCCTCGGTATCCCGAATATGGTTATTATGTTCTTCCAGATGAAGTTCTTCACATCGATATCTCGAATCTTTGCAAGGGGTTTAGCCTCTACCCATTTTGTAAAGTAGTTTGTGGCTACTAGCAAGAACTTTCTGTTTGGTTGTCTGTGGCAGTGGTCCCACTAGGTCCATGCCACACTGGGCAAATGGCCAAGGACTGGATACTGGGTTCAGATCTGCTGCTGGTTGATGTATCAAAGGTGTACACTTTTGACACTTCTCACACTTTTTGATATAGGCTTCAGCATCGTTTTGCATGTATGGCCACCAGTATCTCTGGGATATGGCTCTATGGGCAAGTGATCTGTCCTCAGCATGGCTTCCACATACTCCTTCATGTATTTCATACAAGAAATATTTAACCTGGGATGGATGCACACATCTTAGAAGGGGCTCAGTGAAAGATCTTTTGTAGAGATGGCCTTCTGCTGACAAGTAGAATCTGACCGACTTCAATCTGGTCTTATGTGCGTCTTTTCGGTTATCCGGCAACTTGCCATCCCTTAGGAACATTACTATTACATCCATCCAACTTGGACCCATCTCCATACACATTGTTTCGTATTCTGTGATCAGTGATTCTACACTTGGGCCTGACAAATAATCAACCATTATTGTCCTTGTCTCTCTTGATTTTATTACACTAGCTAGGTTAGCCAAGGCATCAGCATGACTGTTATCATCTCAGCTAACCTACTGTAGTTGGCAATCCTGGAATAATGCTAGCAGTCTAACAACTTCTTTAACATAGGCTATCATTTTTTCATCTCGGGCTGCATACGCGCCTGTTGTCTAATTCACAATAAGTTGGGAGTCACAGAAGATTACCACCTCATCGGCTTTCATTGCTGCTGTTAACTTCAATCCTACAATCAGTGCCTCATACTCTGTTTCATTGTTTAAGGCCTTGAACCCCAAACGAATAGACTACTCTAACATTTGCCCATCTGGTGACACTAACAGTACTCCTGCCTCTGCTCCTTGACGGTTTGAACTTCCATCAATAAACAGGCAGAAAGAATCGCCGATGTAGATATCATAGGGCTTTGGTTTCTCTTTTTTCTTCTGTTTTGCTGGAGTGGGGTTTTTAGGCCCCAGTTGGGTTTCTTCATGCTCCCCTAGGCATCCCAAGTCGTGGCTCACTGGAGTCTGACATGGGATGGCACCAAGGGTGAACTCGACCACAGAGTCGGCTAGAACCTGGCCCTTAATTACTGTTCTGGGTCTAAATTCTAAGCCATATTGGCCCAGCACTATTGCTCATCTGGCTACCCTACCTGTCAGATCTCTTTGCTGCAACAGGGATTTTAAAGGATGCTCAGTCAGTACCACAATCTTGTGGGCATGGAAGTAGTGATTCAGTTTTTTCAAAACCATCACCAGGGGTAGTGTCAATTTCTCTAAGGGCAAAATACCTGATTTTTGCACTTGCTAAGGTCTTACTTATATAGTATACCGCATTTTGTTCTCCCTTATCTTCTCAGATTACTACCGTGCTCACTGCATGTTCTGAAACTGCCAAGTATGGGAACAATTCTTCTCTATGTACTGGATTTGACAGAACTGGAGCTGTTGTCAGGTACTTTTTCAAGTCGATCAAGGCGACTTCGCACTCTTCTATCCACAAAAAATCTGTGGCCTTTTTTAACAAACTAAAAAATGGTTTACACATATCAGAAATTCGGCTGATAAACCTGTTCAGGGCTGCTGCCTTGCCAGTCAAAATTTGGACCTACTTGGCTGACATCGGGCTCTTTAAGTTAAGAATGGCCTTGATTTGATCTGAGCTTACCTCAATGCCCCTTTTGGTAACCAAGTACCACAGGAACTTACCAAACCCAACTCTAAATGCACATTTCGAAGCATTGAGTTAGGGCCGATATGTTATCAGGATATCAAAAACTGCCTTGAAGTTGGCCAGATGATTCCCAGGTTCTTTGGTCTTCATGACCATGTCATCAATGTACACTTCTGCTGTCTTGCCAATCAGATGTTTAAACATTATGGTCACTAACCTCTAGTAGGTTGCTCCTGTATTTTTCAACCCGAAAGGTATCACTTTGTAACAGTACAACCCTTTTGGGGTGATGAATGCAGTCTTCTCCTCATCAGGGGGATACATTACTATCTGGTGGTATTCTCTGTAAGCATCCAGAAAGCTCATCCTCCCATGCCCTGAAGTGGTATCCACCAGCTGATCAATTTTAGGCAGAGGGAAGCTGTCTTTAGGACAAGCCTTATTCAGGCTGGTGAAGTCTATGCAGGCCCTCTACTTTCTATTCTTCTTTTTCACAACTACTGTGTTGGACAACCAGGTTGGGTAGTTTACCTCCCGAATAGCCTTGGCTTGCAACAGTTTGTTCACTTCCTCCTCTATTGCCTCCACATGAATCAATATCGGCCTCCTCGCCCGTTGAATGACAGGTTTAGCCGACCTGTCTACATTGAGTCTATGGCACGTGACCTCGGGGTTAATGCCAGGCATCTTGTATGACGTCTAGGTAAATACTTCTATGTTTGCTTGCGAGAGAGCCTCTAACTCCCTCTCCTCCTCTTCAACTAAACCTGAGCCGAGAAGGAAGAAGCTCTCTACATCATCTTCTTTTATCAAAATATTTTTCAAGGCTTCCTCACTCTTGTCGGCTGGCTCTTTGTTGATGTCATCTAGGAGCTCCATGTCCTCGTCTTCAATTTCTACTGTTTCTGCCTTTCGAACATTGTAGGTGGATTTTATTGCTGCCATAGAGCAATTTATTTCTTGTACATGATCCCTTCTAACCTCCTCAATTCCATGCTCCGTTGGGAATCGCAACAGCTGGTGCAATGTTAAGGGAACAACCCTCATTCCAAGATAACATTGTAAGGGGAAGGGGTGTCAATTACTGTAAACTCTGTGATTACCTTCTTCATGCGTGCCTATACTGCCAAATTCGTGGCTCCTAAAGGCCATGTCGGCGTTTCGTTGAATTCAACCATTGGGCCGTTAGATTGTTCCAGATCGTTTGGGTGAAGGCCAAGCTCCTTGTAACATCTAATATACATGATGTCACAAGAACTGCCTTAATCAACCAGTATGCGCTTTACTTGGCAGTCCCCAATCTTTAGCGTTATCACCAAGGCATCATTGTGTGGATGCTACACCACATCTAGGTCTGCCTCGGTAAAAGAGACCATTGGTCCTCGGTACTCATCGGTCCTAGGCTGTTTCTGCTAGACTTGATACACATGCTGCAGGTGCCTCACTCTTTGAGACTCCTCACGCACCTCATTCTCATTAACCTTTGAGTGAATAACATTGATCACCCAAGGTCCATCTACTTGCTATGGTGGTGCTGCCAGTGCCTGGGATAGTCTTGACTATTCTTCCCTTGTTTTGGCCTCATCTACTAGGTCTCGCATATGACCCTGTCTGACCAGATCCTCCAAGTGTGTCTTCAGAGCCTTGCATACCTGAGTCAAGTGCCCATCCTTATTATGGTAAGCACAGTGCTTCCCAAGGCTCCTTCCCATAAACTCACCAGGGACCTTCTTCGGCGCTCTATAATACGGCTGGTTCCTGATTCTTTCTAGAACTTTGTAAACTGGGATCCGGAACACAGTTGTGACTGCCTGTGTAACCCTCAAACCTATCTCCTGCCTGTTAAAACTAGTGTTACCTCAGCCTCACTTCGACAAGTTGTTTCTCTTCTCTTGCTTTAGCGCTTTTGTTCCTGGCGTATCCTCTTCTGCTCTTGCGTATTTTTCAATCCGAGCCATAAGCTCCTCCATACTTTTTAGTAGAGTTTTCGCCATTGACTTTCGGAGAGGGCATTCATCCTCCAGGACCGTTCTTAAAAGACACGACCGCCATCTCCTGGCTGTACCCCGGTATTCGGTTAAACACCTCATAATTCCTTTTGGCATATGCCCTGAGGCTTTCACCCTCGCCAATTTTCAGAGCCATCAGAGAGTCTACCCTTAATGGCTGCAACTTGTTCGTAACAAACCTAGCGACAAATATCTTGGCCAAGCCTTCCCAACTCTACATATTTTCTTTTGGCAACTTGTGGAACCAATCTGATGCGATTTTCCCAAAGGATAATAGGAACACCTTGCATAGCAACTGCTCGTTCCCGGTATACAAAGCCATTGAATTCAGATATAAGCCGACATGAAAGTTTGGATCGGACTTATCGTCATAAATTTGGAACCTCGACATGTGGAACCTCTTTGGGGCCTCAAACCTATCCAACTTCACTGAGAACAGGGTTCTCGGCTTGACGGGGGATGTGACCTCGGCATTTTTTCGCTTCCTCTAGAGGTAGTCTCTCAAATCTTCCTTCGTTTATCCAGACCTTTTTGGTGCGCTGCTCCTGACGTCGTGGTGTGTCATCTTGGATTTTTCTTCATTCACTATATCAAAGCAAAGTCCTTTCTCCTAGACGTGCCGATGTTCTTTGACATAAGTTCCCTTGGTATGAGGCGTCCTCTGAGACTCACCTCTCACTAACTCTGCTCACCCAACATCCCGTGAAGGCTGATGTGAACGTTCTTTCTCCTTGTCATGTTGAGGGACTACTGGAATTGCTTTTTGCCCTCCTTTCTGGGTGTCAGTCTTAGCTGCTGGTATCGGTGTGTCCTGCAATGGGTACAGTGGTTGCATTACGTTGTTCTGCATTATGAAGTTAATAACTGATTGTAGGTCTGCCAACTTGTTTGCCATCCCCTTTATCTCGTCGTCCCTCCTCTGGTATCTGTCCTTCCATACTTGGAGGTCACTTTCGTTATAATACTTATCTCGGCCTGATTTCTTCAGGGCGTCTCCCTCTTTGTCGACGTCCTTATCCTCAGGATTCTGATCCCGTGCTCCTTCATTATGATTTTCTTTCTCGATGTTAGGATCAGCATGTTTACCACTCTCGCCTGGAACATTATTCCCGATCTTTTCTCTTTGCCCGTTGTTGGCCATCTATTCTCCTTAATTTTCCACAGATAGTGCCAAATTATGGGTGTTGATTTCTAATCACACAACCAAACGGGGAACTTAGCTGGAGAGTACCAACATAATAGATTAAGCCCAACAACCTGCACAAGAAGATGATAATCCGACAGTGGTTCGTCCATCCGGGGCACTTTGACGATCAAGTCAGTAATCAATATCTCTCAAAGATAGCAAATTGTGCTTAAACTCACAAGAAAGAACTTAGCTTAGACCCACGAGGGTGCCTTGCTTTTATAACCTGCCGTGACCTAATCCTATTAGAAGCCTCACTTCAATAGACTCAAGCTCAATGCTCATCCTGGACCTTTATCTGGATAGAGATAAACTCTTCTTGAGTCTTATCTTTGTCCAGACTGAGATCCTTCCCTACTCTAGGACTCTTGTCCCTTATCCGCTTATCTTGGATTCTGGTATCGCTGTAGATAACCTCAGTCTAGCCGAGATCACCTCGGCACATGACCAAGCCACATGGCACCTCAATTGATACTTAGACATCACCTTAGCCACGTGCTGTCATTAATAAAATATGTCCCCACAGTAACGATTATGGATTACAAACAGTTAAGAAAAAATTTATTGCTTTTATTCAAAATGTATACTGATTTATTTTAATAAAAAATATAGGATAAATGGATCAGCAAGACAAGAGATAAAAAAAGACTTGATTATGTAGGATAGAAGGCAAAAGTTAGCTGTTGTTCAAGTTGTTTGCCTTGTGATATATTGGTATATGTAGAGAAAATATCACCTTAGGAAGTACGTGGATCATCCTATTAATTACTTGAAGAGAGAAAAAGTGAGGATTGAACTAATGACATAGCTTAAATATATTAAGAATTGTCGTAATATCACCTATATGGGGCTACAGGCATTTCATGATTTGTGTCATATACTTGAAAGAGATGGTGGTCTAAAACCTATAAAACGTGCAACAGTTGAGGAACAAGTTACAAAGTGTCTTTACATTTTGTTACACAATGTGACAAATAGAAATGTTTTGTTTTTCTTTCGTTGCTCCAGTGAGACTATAAGTCGGCATTTTCATAGTTTTTTGAGAGCTCTTATATCATTAGAAGATCGATTTCTTTGCCAACCAAATGGATCAAAAGTCCCTCCAGAAATACTCAATAATAATAGGTTCTATCCATATTTTAAGGTAAAAATTCCATACTACATTTCGCTTTAAATTTTTAGTTTTATTTCTATATAAAACTACCACATGATACATTTATGTTAGGATTTTATTAGAGCACTTGATGGAAGACATGTTCATGTTAAAGTATCCAGCAAGGATGCGCCGAGATATCGTGGTAGAAAAGGTTACCCTATACAAAATGTATTGGCTGCATGTTCATTTTACTTAAAATTCACTTATGTCTTACTTGGATTGGGGAGGGAGGGGGGAGGGGATTGCATCTGACTCAAGGATCATAAAAAATGCACTCACTAGAGAAGATAAACTGAAAACACCCAACAGTAATTCATGCTTAGATAATATGAAACTTTTGTTAAATTATATAGATTTAGGGTTTAATATGGTGATGTGTTTTGTTTTAAATAGGCAAATTTTGTCTTGTTGATGCAGGGTATATGTTAAGGAGTGCCCTTGTCCCTCCTTATAGAGGTGTGCATTGAAGCTGAACAATGGGTAATCGGCTGGTAACAGATTCGAATCAGTGAAGCCGAGTTTGATAAACGTCTTGTAATACTTTATTTCTGAGGTGCTTCCCTGATCGATGAGAACACGCTCAACTATGAATCTATTTACGCGTAGCTCAACGACAAGGGAATCAGCATGGAGGAGAGTTACTCTATCTAGGTCAGTGTCGTCGAAGCTAATCTTGCCAGTTTCATGGGGCCGTTTGGCTGGTGTGATTGGCTTGGGCAGGCTAGGTTGCAACTGAATTGTATGTACTTCGGTTGACGACGGTAATTTGTATATCATGTGAATTATACGAGGTGGAGGTGAATCCGGCCGTAGGGCTACCATCTACCGGAAAATGATCGAGAGTTGTTTAACCACCGACATGCTTCTTTACACAATGCCATTGAGAAAGATTTTGGCGTGCTAAAGAAACAATTTCCATCAATGTCAAACTCAAGAAACGGCTTGTGCACCAAAGGATACCGATGAGGATGCAAAACAAGGGGCACTCATCAGAAATGTGATAACAACTACAATATGGTCTGATTATGTTGCAAATCAAGAGTGATATTTTAGTTTTTACATGTTTGCTAGCCATCTTGATTTTATGTGATAAGTATTTGAACATCGGATCGGATTTATTCATAACTTTGCTATTGTGATGACATTATTGTGGTTTATGATGTTACTTTGAATTTATTTTGTTGTAGATTCGGATGTATCCATAACTTTGCTATTGTGATAACATTATTGTGGTTTATGATGTTACCTTGAATTTATTTTGTTGTAGATTCGGATGTATCCATTACTTTGCTATTGTGATGACATTATTGTGGTTTATGATATTACATTGAATTTATTTTGATGTAGATTTTATAAATGGATAAAAAAATCATAATTATTTCTTTTCTTTTATTTCTTACTTATCCAAACAAAAAAGAGAGAAATCACAATCATTTATTTTATTTTCTTTTCTCTTATAACTTAAGTAATCATTTCTTTTTCTTTTCTCTCCTAAATTCTCAAATATAGTATTAGGGTTTAGCCATCTCAGTTTGAGAAAGTGTTTGGATTTAGTAGGTTCATTTTGGGATCGAACTCAGTGATTCAAACTGTT